CTCCCTCCTCCTCCTCGTCCTCCTCGTCTTTCTTCTCCTCACTCACCTCCTCCTCCTCCTCAGCCACCGTGATCCGAGGGTCGGCGGACTGGAACTCCCCTTGTATCGATCGAGCGGAAGCTCGGACTAAGTGTGCGGGCGATGGGCGCCCGGGGGCGGGGGGGCAGCCGAGTGGCCGAAGGGGGCCCCTCGGGCCGGTCTTCCCGAAGGAGGCCCTGCTCGCATGCAGACTCCCTTCCCTCTCTGCCTCCCCTTCCCTCCAATCTCCGCGGTCCCCTTTTCCTCCTGCCTTTCCTCTGTCCTCCCTTCCTCCTTCCTCCTCCTGCACCCCTCCTCCAGCCCTCCTCCTAGCACAAACCTATAATTCCCTCTGGTTCTCGATCTCTCTCTCTCTCTCTCTCTCTCTCCCTCTCTTCCTGTCGCTCTCTGTCTCTCTCCCTCTCTTGCTCTCTCTCTCCCTCCCCCCTCTCTATCTCGATGTTAGGTTTCCATATATATATCTGTCTCTCTCTCTCTCTCTCTCTTTCTCTCTTTATCCCTCTCTCTCCCTATACACATACACACCCCTTTATGTGTGTCTATGTCTCTCTCTCTCTCTCCCTCTCTCTCTTTATTTCCCTCTCTCTCTCGCCCTCTCTCTCTCTCTCTCTCTGTATAAATTTCCTTATGTTTTTATAGTCTGCTTATAACTGTACTATCTCTCTCGCTCTCTCTCTCTCTCTTTCTCCCTCTCTCTCTCTCTCTGTGTTTCTCTCTCTCTCTCTCTCTCTATCGATCGATGTGTATACATATGTACAGAGAATTAGGTTTATACATCTGGATATGCACACAGACAGCTATATTGATATGTATAGTCTATGTGAGCCAGGGTGGACCCCACATGGTGTTCCTCTTTCACTAAAGGCTTGTGTGATCTAGGTGGCGCATTATATGTGGTGAAATTCCATTGCTGTTCGCAATGAGTTGTCCACTCCACTGCTCGCGCAAACATCCCACCAACCCACCCACAACTTGGTTTGCAAAATCTCTTAAGAACGTGACAGTGGGTACCAAATGGCACTTGGCAACGACAGCAACGCCGACGACGACAGCGACAACGACGACGACGACGCCGCCGACAACGACTACGACGACACCGACGACGTCTCCAACGACTTCGACGACGCCGACAACGACGACGACGACGGCACCGACGACGACGACGTTGACGCCGACGCCGACGACGACGACGACAACGATGACAACGACGACGACGATGACGACGCCGACGACGACGACAACGACGACACCGACGACGACGACGGAGACGAAGTCACCGACGCCGACGACGACGACGACGACGACGACGACGTCGCCAACGAAGACGACGACGAGGGAGGAGGGAGGACGACGACGACGACAACGACGACAACGACGAGGGAGGAGGGAGGCGACGACGCGAACGACGAAGAAGGAGGAAGGACGGCGACGCCGACGACGACAACGTGAGAGGAGGGAAGACGACGATGACGACAACGACGACGACGACGACGACGACGACGCGACGAAATAGGAGGGACGACGACGAGACGCCGACGACGGACGACGACGACGACGAGGAAGGAGGAGGAAGGACGACCACGGCGACAACGACGACGGAAACGACCACGACGCCAAAGAGGACGACGACGACGAACACGAGGAAAGACAGAGGACGACGTAGGCGACGACGACGACGACGACGCGGGAGGAGGGAGGACGGCGACAACGACGACGACGACGACGCAAGAGCGCGCGCGCATGCTTTTGTTGAAAATCCGTGTTGCGAAACCTTTTGTTTTTGTAGGTTGTTGGGGCACACGATTTTGAAACCCTTCCGAAACCGAATGGGTTTTGAAGGATTTCGGCATACGCGCGCGACGACGCGCGCGTCTGCACTTCGTCCCATTTGTTGAAAGGGATTCTCGTGACGGCACACGCGCAAGGGCGTTCGACAGATTTCGACATGCGCGCGCGCGAAGCCCGTTTGGTAGCATGTTGTGAAAATCTTGAAAAACCGATGGTTTTCTTAAGATTTCGCAATAGCTCGCGCGTAAGCTCTTTTAGCAAATCAGTGTTGCGAAACCCTGTGTTTTGGTATGTGTTTTAGAAACTCGATTGCGAAATCCTTCCGACACCGAGGGTTTTTGAAGAATTTCGGCATGCGCGCGCGACGACGCGCGCGTGTGCGCTTCGTCCCATTTGTTGCGAGGGATTCGCAAAAAAAGTCTTATGTTCGAACAAGATATGTCCCTGCGTATTGTTTTTTACAAAGGAACCTCAGGGGGGCCGATACCGGCCCCCCTGGGATAATGTAAATTCATATTTAGGATGGACATGTGGTCAGAATCATAAATGATTTACATACCCGAAAGGGGGGGATAACGCCAGGGGGGGTAGAGTCTATTCTCTTTTTAGAAAGGAGAATCAATGTGACTGTCTTGAAACTGTCTTCTCCACTGCTCGTGAAAACATCCCACTCTCCCACCCGCAACTTGGTCGCAAGACCTCCTAAGATCGTGACGGTAGGAAACAAGTGGCACTTGGCAACGACACCGACGCCGACAACGAGAGCGACAACGACGACGACGCCGACAACGACTACGACGACACCGACGACGACTCCGACGACTTCAACGACGACGACGACACCGAAGACAACGACGACGACGACACCGACGACGACGACGACGCCGACGCCGACCACGACGACGATGACGACGCCGTCGACGACGACGACGACGACGACGCCGACGCCGACGCCGACGCCGACGACGCCGACGACGACGACGACGACGTCGCCAACGAAGACGACGACGAATACGACGACGACGACGACGTCGCCAACGAAGACGGCGACGAGGGAGGAGGGAGGACGACGACGGCGACAACGACGACGGACGGCGACGACGCGAACGACGAAGAAGGAGGAAGGACGGCGACGCCGACGACGACAACGACGTGGGAGGAGGGAAGACGACGATGACGACAACGACGACGACGACGACGAGGGAGGAGGGAGGACGATAACGGCGACAACGACGAAGGAAGAGGGAGGATGGCGACAACGACGACGACGACGACGACGACGACGACGACGACGGCGACGAAATAGAAAAGACGGAGACGAGACGCCGACGACGGACGACGACGAAGACGAGGGAGGAGGCAGGACGACCACGGCGACAACGACGACGGAAACGACGACGACGACGCCAAAGAAGACGACGACGACGAGGAAAGACAGAGGACGACGACGGCGACGACGACGACGGAGGAGGGAGAACGGCGACGACGACGACAACGACAACGCAAGATCGCGCGTACACGCTTTTGTTGAAAACCCGCGTTGCGAAACCATGTGTGTTTGTATTTTGTTTGGACCATCGATTTTGAAACCCTTCCGAACCCGATGGTGTTTGAAGGATTTCGGCATGCATGCGCGCGCGACGACGCGTGCGCGTGCACTTCGTCCCGTTTGTTGCAAAGGATTCTCGCGACGGCACGCGCGCAAGGGCTTTCGAACGATTTCGACATGCGCGCGCGCGAAGCCCGTTTGGTGGAATCTTCTAAACATTTTGGACAACCGATGGTTTTCGTAAGATGTTGCATGAGCGCGCGCGCAAGCTTGTTTAGAAAATCCGCGTTGCGAAACCATGTGTTTTTGAATGTGTGTCGAGACGCTCGGTTTTGAAATGCTTCCAAAACCCAGCGTTTTTGAAGGATTTCGGCATGCGCGCACGACAACGCGCGCGTGGGCACTTGGCCCCATTTGTTGCAAAGGCGTCTTGAACACTTATGATGTTTGATAGACGAGTGCACGCGCATAGCAGATGTTGCAGAGGATGGAGGGGGGGAGTCATAAAATAGTCGCCGGCAGGAAGCCGAGAGACACCGATGCTCGAATCAAGACCGCCCTGAGGGAACTACTCTTTTTCGCAGCCGCATCCCAAAGCTCACCGAGCTCCTCTGACCAGCGATGTGCGATGGTCGCCCTCGCACGCGACCAGATGCCCGCTGTCGCGGGCAGTGGGCCGATCACTCGATCGCCTCCAGCGGCCTTCGGGATCGCGCAGCAAACAATGAGATGGAGCTGGCGAGGCCAGCTGCCGAAGCTCTCAGCGGCGTCGAGCACATCCACGAAGCCCCGGCGCCCCTGCCGCGGGAGCCTCTGGATATCCAGCGGCGAGAGGACGTCGGCCCCACGGGCCTGGGAGCCCGAGAGGCGGCCGACGAGGCTGTCCACGTGCTCCAGCTCCAGCGGCTCGAACGGCTGCCGCTGCGCCCCCTGCCAAAGCCGCTGCGTGCCCTGGATCCTGCCGGCGCGGCCCCCAGCTTTCGGCCTTCCCCGCCATCAGGACCGCAGGAGAGGCCGCGGCCTCGGGCGCGACCGACTCAGCCCTGACGCGGCGATGCAATGCGCCAGGGCGGAGCATCCAGCTGCCCCGGGCCCGCCGCGCAAAGGCCCGCTCAGCGGCGGTCACGCTGCGGGAGAAGGCCAGCTGCACCAGCACGCGCGCGCGCGCTCCACGATGCTGCCCAGCTCCTCCAGCTCCGCGACGGCGCGAGTGCTGGAACGCACGCCCTCCAACCGCGCGCCGGCGTCCTCCGCGTTCATGCGCTTCCCGAACATGACGCCCGTGGGCGGGCTCTTGCACTGCTTCAGCATCCTCTCGATGGCGTCGGTGCTGGCGCCCTGCGGTTGGTGGTTCACGTCGCGCTTGCGCAGCGCCAGCTTCACGTCGCGCTTGCGCAGCGCCAGCAGCCGCGCGAGGATAACGCCCATCGTCCACCACCATTCCACAGCAGGCGTTCGCACGTGTGCTCGCCCTGGCGATGGCTTGAGCCGCGCGCAGCTCAGGCCTGGCACGTCGGCTCTACCCCTGCAGCGTTGACGCGCAGCGGAATCCATGCCCTCGAACTTCAGCGCCGTCTCCTCGAAGGTGCTGACCCAGCGACCGCAGGTCGGCGACGGCCCTGACCTCCGCGCCCCCAGGAAAGGCCCAAGCATCGCCCACGCGCGACGGCGCACGCAGCGAGCCCAGAGCAGCCTCGGCATCCTCCCACGCCTCCTGAGGCACGTGGAACGCCACGGGCGGCTCGGTGAACTGCGAGTTGCCCCCATCGGAGGCGTCGGCCAGGTCGTCGAAGGCCGCCCGCAGGTTGGGATCGAGGCCTTCTCGACGCCTCTGGCGCTGATCACGCGTCCGATGCGACCGCTTCCTGCCCTCCTGCGGCTGCTTCCTGGAGCGCTCGCGGGACAGCAGCGCTTTTCCAAGGCACCTGCGGGCAGACGCGCAGCTGCAAGGACACCATCGAAGCCGCACTTGGCCACCGCGAAGTCGACGAGAGACGCGCCCGAGCCAGCGGCGCAAGTGACGTCCACGTCGGGCCTGGGAAGGACACCGTCCAACAGCTGCATGAACTGGGAGGCCTGCAGCTGCTCCATGCTGGGGTTCCAGTCGCCGATGATAGCCCACGGGTCGTCGAGCGTCTCGACGAATCGCCCGACCGAGCGAAGGCGCTCTGTGTTGGCACCCCCGAGATTGTCCCCTGGGAACAGGTAGAACGCGATGACAACGACACTCCCTCTCTGAAGGTGGAAGGTCACCGCCTGGAAGCCCTTGCAGGCTGGCGCACTCAGCACGCGCTCCCAGGACGTGGCGGCCGGGTGCTTCAGGACGAAGGTGGCATCTCCACCGCGGCATCCCGAGGCGGACTTGAGCGACGCAGTCGAGGGGGTAATCATGGCGCCCCAGCCGTCTTGAGCCACCTCCGTGCGAATGCCCTGAACTTATGCTGCCTTCTAATGCATTTCCGCGAAACACACCGCATTCTACTGTCTCCCCTGGGCCCTTAGAGAACCGAGAGACTTCGGGCCCCACTCTGTGGCACTACTGAAGAACACCGTGGCCGAGCCGCCGCGCGCTGGGCCTGCGCCGCAAAGCGCACCTCCACGATCGGGTCGAGAGGCATCTGGTGCGGAGCCTAGGCTGGGGGCTCCGCCGCCCCGCTGTTCAGCGCGGCATGGCCCCCGCCTCTGCCACGGGCTCTGGGGGCGGGATCTGAGGACGCTCAGCGCTCGTGCGTGCTGCTTGCTGCCAGGCGCTCGACCAGAATCTGGGCGGCTCTGGCCTGCGCGTTGGGGCGCTGGGCGTCGGCGCCTGGGGCTGCGCCGGTGGCGGCAGAGCTCGCAGGGGCCCCGTCGCCTCCACCCCTGTAGACGGTCGGAGCGGCTGGCCCCCCACTGACGGCGGCAAGACCGCCCGCTCTTGTTGCCGCGGCAAGGGCAGCTGCTGGCACCAAGCCGCCGCCGCGCCTCTTCTTGACCATGCGTTCCGCGTGCTCCTGATGCTGCAACCTGACCGCCTTCGCGACGTCTGCAGCCTTCTGGAAGACCTCCCGTGCCACGGTGTTGATCTGCTCCTCAAGCTCCAGCTGGTGACGCTGAACTTCCTCTTTGTCTTCTTGAAAGGCATCCTCATCGCCGACGTCGAAGATGGTGCCCATGTCGACCTTGATGGTGTCGCAGGCGCCGTCGAGGAGCGAGCCAAGAGAAAGGACGGGCTCGGCGGCCTTGGCCTTGGTCCTGTGGAACTGCGCCAGAACCTGGTCGTGCTGCTTGTGGAACTCCTCCAGCTGAAAAATTTCGCTGTTCGATGAGGTCCCTCTGCTCCTCCGCCGCCTTCCCCAGCTTGTCGAGCTGGGCGATGGCAGCCCCGAGCTTCCTGACATGCCTCCCCCCGGCGCAGGTAACGCTGGAGAGCTGGGGCGCCAACGGCGCGGCGGCGGGAGGGAGCTCGAGCCTGGTGGTGGCCTGCTGGCAGCGGCGCTCCAAGTTGGCGCTGCCCATCTTGGATTACCAGCCTCGAACGTATCCCTATCCCTAAGATTGACACGCCAAAAGGCGATGACAATCTTAGGGGTTCGCCCTCCAAAAATTATGCTAACGGAGTTCCCCACATAAAGAGATTAACGGTTTCGTGGGACCCATTTTCTTGATGCCCTCCTCGCGACGCAGGAGGGGTGGGAGGGGCACGAAACCATGTAAATAGTATGGTATTCCGATACCCTCCTCGCTCAGGCGGGGCCTCCCTGGAGGGGTGGGAGGGGCACGAAACCATGTAAATAGTATGGTATTCCGATACCCTCCTCGCTCAGGCGGGGCCTCCCTGGAGGGGTGGGAGGGGCACGAAACCATGTAAATAGTATGGTATTCCGATACCCTCCTCGCTCAGGCGGGGCCTCCCTGGAGGGGTGGGAGGGGCACGAAACCATGTAAATAGTATGGTATTCCGATACCCTCCTCGCTCAGGCGGGGCCTCCCTGGAGGGGTGGGAGGGGCACGAAACCATGTAAATAGTATGGTATTCCGATACCCTCCTCGCTCAGGCGGGGCCTCCCTGGAGGGGTGGGAGGGGCACGAAACCATGTAAATAGTATGGTATTCCGATACCCTCCTCGCTCAGGCGGGGCCTCCCTGGAGGGGTGGGAGGGGCACGAAACCATGTAAATAGTATGGTATTCCGATACCCTCCTCGCTCAGGCGGGGCCTCCCTGGAGGGGTGGGAGGGGCACGAAACCATGTAAATAGTATGGTATTCCGATACCCTCCTCGCTCAGGCGGGGCCTCCCTGGAGGGGTGGGAGGGGCACGAAACCATGTATATAGGCGGGGCCTCCCTGGAGGGGTGGGAGGGGCACGAAACCATGTAAATAGTATGGTCCGATACCCTCCTCGCTCAGGCGGGGCCTCCCTGGAGGGGTGGGAGGGGCACGAAACCATGTAAATAGTATGGTATTCCGATACCCTCCTCGCTCAGGCGGGGCCTCCCTGGAGGGGTGGGAGGGGCACGAAACCATGTAAATAGTATGGTATTCCGATACCCTCCTCGCTCAGGCGGGGCCTCCCTGGAGGGGTGGGAGGGGCACGAAACCATGTAAATAGTATGGTATTCCGATACCCTCCTCGCTCAGGCGGGGCCTCCCTGGAGGGGTGGGAGGGGCACGAAACCATGTAAATAGTATGGTATTCCGATACCCTCCTCGCTCAGGCGGGGCCTCCCTGGAGGGGTGGGAGGGGCACGAAACCATGTAAATAGTATGGTATTCCGATACCCTCCTCGCTCAGGCGGGGCCTCCCTGGAGGGGTGGGAGGGGCACGAAACCATGTAAATAGTATGGTATTCCGATACCCTCCTCGCTCAGGCGGGGCCTCCCTGGAGGGGTGGGAGGGGCACGAAACCATGTAAATAGTATGGTATTCCGATACCCTCCTCGCTCAGGCGGGGCCTCCCTGGAGGGGTGGGAGGGGCACGAAACCATGTAAATAGTATGGTATTCCGATACCCTCCTCGCTCAGGCGGGGCCTCCCTGGAGGGGTGGGAGGGGCACGAAACCATGTAAATAGTATGGTATTCCGATACCCTCCTCGCTCAGGCGGGGCCTCCCTGGAGGGGTGGGAGGGGCACGAAACCATGTAAATAGTATGGTATTCCGATACCCTCCTCGCTCAGGCGGGGCCTCCCTGGAGGGGTGGGAGGGGCACGAAACCATGTAAATAGTATGGTATTCGATACCCTCCTCGCTCAGGCGGGGGGCCTTCCTGGAGGGGTGGGAGGGGCACGAAATGTAAATAGTATGGTATTCCGATACCCTCCTCGCTCAGGCGGGGCCTCCCTGGGAGGGGCACGAAACCATGCACGATAACCAGTATATGGTATGGTATCTATGGTACGCCATGGTATGGTATGGTACGGTATGGTACGTATGGTGTGGTATGGTATGGTATGGTATGGTATGGTATGGTATGGTATGTGTGGTAGGAACTATGGTATGGTATGGTGTGTGTGTGGTAGAAATAATATTGTGCTGTATGGAAGATGGAGGGCGGCAATGATATGGTATGGTATGCTACGGTACGCCATGGTATGGTATGGTACGGTATGGTACGTATGGTGTGGTATGGTATGGTATGGTATGGTATGGTATGTCTGGTAGGAACTATGGTATGGTATGGTGTGTGTGGTAGGAATAATATTGTGCTGTATGGAAGATGGAGCGGGAGGTGGGTGGGAAGGAGAGGGTGTTCTGGGAAAACAAGAACCCCACTCAGGATGTGGGGAATAAAGGAACCCCGAAGATTGGCATCGTGATGAGGAGGTGCCCAGCATGGGGATAGGGATCTGTTCCAGGCTGGTAATTGGAGGCCATGGCGCGCAGGCTGTGGAGTTCAGCGGGCTCCAGCTCGTCGACCTGAGTAGCATCGCTCCCAGCAGCGCCACCATCGCCGCCAGCCAAGAGCGGGAGGCCGCAGCCCGCCGCCCGCCCATCGCCCACGGGGGCGGGGGACCGGGGCCTCGCTGCTCGGCAGGTCGTTCTTGGTGCCATAGCAGTGCTTGCACCAGTATACCACGACGCACGGTTGTTGGCGCACCCGCAGCTCGTGCACTTCCACATCGGCCCTGGCTGCACCCATGGCCGCGCACTCCTGGGCGCCATGCGGGGAAGCTAAAGGGAGGAGGATATGAGATATGAGATACAAAGGGGACGCAGTGTCCCTCCAACCACTCTACGAGCTCTCAGGAGGTCCCCCATTGGAGCCCTCGCCGGAGCTCTCAGGAGGTCCCTCGCTGGAGCCCTCAACAGGAGCCGCTCCTACACCTGACTGGACAATCAGGGAGGCATCCTTGGCCCTCTTTGGCAGACCTGCATAGCTCGGGACCTTACCCTGCTTGATCCGTGTGAGATTATGCTGCCCCCCTCTTGGTGGGGCAGCGGCACGGCACGGCCAGCCCAACCAGCTTCAGGGTGGCCGTCGAGCCGCACACATTGCAAAAGAACAGACTGTGTTCCTGCCAAAGATACACTTCATGAGACGGGTGGACCACTTGGTTCCCAAGGATCGAATACGAATTGCTCTTAACAATACTGCTCGGAACGCCCACCCCACCGCCCACCCTAGGTGCAGGGACGGGGGTACATGAAGACTCGGCCGCTCCCTCGATCCTGGATCCAGGAACCAAAAGGCGGCACGCAGAGCACAGCCAGCAACCACCCTGGACGGAGGTCCAGGCATGCTGGCTGGCCGCCAAGGCTCGGGTGAGCTTTGGCTGAGGAGCGGGCCGAGTCTTCGGAGGCCTCTTAGCCTCCCAGGCGTCGACCCCGAGCGCGTCAATCAGGGCCTTCCGTGCACGAGTCCTAACCTGCGCAGCGATGGTGTCCCAAACATCAGTGTGCGGGGCGTTGCCGACGAGCCCCCGAGAGAGGGCCTCTTGGGCCGCAACTTCCGCCAGGGCATCAGCACAGGCGTTTCCAGCGGCGCGGAATATCGCACTAGGCGAGACCAAAAGGTGGGCCTGCTCGTCCATGTGGGACGGGATCCACACAACAGAAATCTCGGCGGCTCCCTGGGGCCCTCTGGAGGCCAATCCCCGCTTCACACGAGCCCAGAGGTCCCCATTCACCCCAAGAGGAGAGGTCTGCCTGCCCGAGAGCCACCCTAGGTACAAGGCACGACTGTCAGCGTAAAAGACACAGGGGCCTTCTGTCGACTCGACGGCAAGGGCGAAGGCCAAAAGCTCCGCGCGTGGGACAGTCTGGCGCGCTGGCAGTCCGCCCAGCATGCCTCCCTCGAGGCGCCAGGCGCCCTCCTCCTCGTCAAAAGAGACGGAGCAAAAAGCAGCTCCGCAGCGGCGACGGCGAGGGTCCGCTGCGCCCCCCCCCCCCCCCCGCTGCCGTCTCCAAAAAGATGGAGCACTCCATCAGGTCCTCGAGCCCTTCGGAAGTC